TTATTAACATCGGTTAACCTTTCTTGTAGCTACAATTCTCAATAAGGGGATCAATCTATTTTACCCTAAAATACCCCTAGATCATAGGTAAAAATTTTAGATGGTATTTGAAATTAATTGTTGTCTACATATTTAACATGGGAAAATCTATATTTAGCTTTTTAGGGGCTGATATATATCATATGTCTAGGCCGATCCCTCTAAGGGTATAATGAATATGGAATAATAATTAAGAAATTAACCTCAAGGATAGAAACCCTTACATTATTACCATGTTATAACCATCCATGCTTAATATAATGGTTATATCACAACCACAGGATAACATTGTAATAAGAGATAACCTCTATATTATGCCTATTTTAGAGGACAATGATAATATTATCATAATAGTTGGTCGAATGTTCAACAATATTCAAGCTATGAAATTGTTTTTGGTGTCATAATATGAGATATCACTTATAGTACTCCTCAATTATTAAATGTAGACCCAAAAAGAGGCATACCATATATTACCTCCTAAATTAGCCAATTAAGGTATGGAATAAACATGGAGTATTATAAGGATTCCTATTTAACTAAAAGATCACTAGTAAAAGAGGTATCACCTTGATAGTAATTATAGGAATAGCCTAGTGAATATAATTTCAAGAGTGGTTGATCATAATGCAGTAGATAGATTATATTAATATTATCTAAGGTCATATAGTCCATTTGATGGGTTAATATATTGGGTATATAAGGTCCCTTATCGAGTGCATACCATTTAATGGCCCTATATAATGCAATCACTATATTATTTGAAATGGATAACATACTTATTATCTAATAATAATCCAACATATTAATTCTTATGATATACATATATTCATATTCGAATAGTACCAAAGGTTAGGCCTCCATTGGTCCTATTGATTATTCCGATAATGTTGCTTAAGGCCCTTATTAAATAAGTGTAAATAATTCCCTATTATATAACTATATGCCATCTCCAATAGCCATGTATAATAGTATTATTAAAAGCTCATTCGACAATCATGAATTGTAGAGTAACTCTTGTTCATGGATTCACCTATATACTCTCTAAAGTTACCCTTATCATGGTAAGCAATTCCACTTATAGGTGTTCATGAGATAGAATGGTGGATCAGTTATTAAACATGATATGGAGTAAACCTTCCATAACTAACATTTAATATCTCCTAATAGAACTCTCCCTCTATATTACTATTAATGATGGTTTCTCTTAATTCTACAAATAGTTTCCCATCTCTTAAAGTATTCCTTATCATAACCATCTATATAATCGATTAACGTTTACTCATATATATATATATTGTTAGTGTATGCCCTAGCCCAATACATTGTATTTTGACTCTTTACTATATTTATACATATGAGGCATTGTTTTATCTTATTATCATTCTTGTGCATGTTTAAAATAGATAAAATATCCATGAATAGAATAATTCCGCTTAAGTTATCAAATACATGATTTGATAGTAAAACCTTGAAGCATAAAAGAATACTATTCTAAATATCCTTAGTCGATTATTGTCATGGGAATGGCAATAAACTAAGACTAGTATGTACTTTGTGAGATGATCGAGTTTTACCGGTCATGGATATGGGATATCAATCAAGGAACATAGATACATGTTAGGGAACAATGTATTTAGATCGATTCGCTATGAGAACACTACATGGTTGAAAGTCATAAGTGATTCTCATGCAAATGCTTATACTTGAATCCCTCGACTCGAAATCGTTATGGATTCTTAGATGAATCCTTACACACTTTGACATACGCCAACATCATTTGTAACTAAATGAAAAGTATGGGTATGATTGGGTATGCCACGATTCATGCCAAGAAACATGAATAAAGTGAAGGGATTGCCACTCTCTTTATTGAGAGAAGATATCACCTGCCACTTGATTAGTGAAACCGAGTAGTGCATGGCCATGCCCAAATGAAATGATAAGTGTTAGTTAGTGTCACTAATAGATCAAGAAATGATTTAGCAATAAATAAGGATGACATGTTCCATGCCTTATGCTGATCATGATATCGAGAGGCAAAGGGTTGTATAAGGTTGCAACTAGGTTACGTTAATTTATATTGACATTCATTCAATTTGGGTAGTCATAATGTCTTGCTAGAGGTCGCTTATGATTTATAGTCCATAAATTGGATTTAGGCCCATTGTCAACATTGAATGGACCTACAGGATCGCACACTTTAAAATCTAAATTTGGATTTAAACTATCTCACTTATCGGGCCATTAAAATATGTTATTAATTAAAATATAATTGAGTGGACTTAAGTTGATTTTCGGTTGAGGCTTATTTAAATGTTAAATTCGGCCCTAATAGTATTTTAATTAAAAGGAGAGAAAGAGTCCTTATTCTTGTAGAATAATTGAAGAGGAATTTGATTAGGAATGTGATCCCTATTTTTTAGGAAGTAGATTGCCATCCAAATTGGAAACAACTCTATTCCTAATAAAAAAATAAAAATAAAAGAGGAGAGAAAAAGTTTCTCTTACTTTACTCTAAGAGAAAATTTGGCACACATATAAAAGAGAGAAAATAAGTTTTGCTCTCCTCCTAACTCTTGGAAAAATTCAGCACACATAAGAGAAGAGAGAAAATAGGTTTTTCTCTCCTCCTAACTCAAGGCCGCCGCCCCCCCCCCCCCCTTTTTTCTTTCTTCAAAACCGAAATCATCAATTAATAAAAGTGAGATAGTTTGAGTGCTAGCACACATAATCTTAATCCCATAGGTTTTTGTGTGTGAGATAGTAGAGGGCATTCGCATTAAGGCGAGTGTCTCCCATTGTTCAAATCGATAGAAAAAGGAGCAAGGAAGAGAAATTGATTCGAGCTCACCTTATTGAATAAAGATTCGGCATCCAACTCAAGGTAAAAGTCTCAACCTTTATTGATTATTTTAACATACATGTGATCTTGGCGTGTTTCTATGGTAAAGTTGATGATTTTTGCTGCGTGTAAACTTGATTAAGTCCATAGAAAACCTTACATTGGTATCGAGCATGGCTTGTATGCTTAATCTAATCAATTAAAACCCAATTTTGCCATATTGGAAATCTGATTTTGTGTGTTTAAATGTCAAAAGGCCGAATCTGATTAGTTTAATGGCAATAGCCGAATGTGTTATTAACTTGATAGATTCATGAGTTTAATTGGTAAATCGAATATGTAGTGACTTCCAATTGTGTTTTATGGGTTTTATGTTTAATGAGATTAAATCATAACATAAAATTGGTAAGAGAAATTGACTAGAAAAGGATTAATGGCACTATCTTAATCTAATAGTGTATTGATATTTTAATATGATTAAAATTGTGATTTTATGAACAACTCATTCAATGAGTGGTCAAAAGGTTTGACCTATTGGGTTAACACCCAAGCCCTTAATAGGGTTAGTTCTTGAAATCAAATACACAATTTCTCAAATGGCTTATGGACATAATTAAAATTGAAAATCCATATTATTTGCTAGTATATGTTTTCGATTTTAATCTTTTTGGTGTATTTTTCGTGAATGGTTATGCATGGTACATGTCATGGGCCTATTTTTATTATGGGTTGTAATTAAATACGACCCGAGTGTCGTCTATTTTTTTTTTTGTAAAATTTTTAATTTTATTTTATTAGAATAGATGTATTTAATATCATATTGAAGACTTTGTAATTAAGACAAGAGACGGAGCCCAATGGAGGTGTGCTAACCCAACTCGGAGGAAGCCCATTAGATATAGCTTTTCTTAGAGTTAGGTATTTGGCCCATGACATATCCCGTTTAAATTTTATGCACCTTATATATACTCGCATGTGTGAATGAATGGAAATTCGTATATGCCATGTAAGCCATAATAAAATGAATCCCTACACTATTAAGTCATAAAATTGCCTTCCTAATTCAAAACTTGTCAAGGCATCGATCGTCTAAACGTGGGCTATGCCATAGCTAGGTGCGTTGGATTATCTTTGTAAGGTAAGAGTTAGGGTAAATGTTATTCCTAACACTCGAATGTATGATTGACTTAACATGGGTAATGGCACCGTCCCGACCCTAGGCAATAAAATGGAATAGTGCCCAACATAAGATGTTGATCCATTCGATCCAAGAGTTATATTAGATATAATTGAAAAGGGTTCCTACCGAAATAACTAAGTCTTAGGTGTACGGACTCAGCTTGACTAAGAAAAGGTGAAATAAGGATCTTGGCTCGCAATCAAAAACACTAACATGAATTATTTAAAGGGATATTAATTCAAATTATGGGATTATAAATAAAGACCTCATACTAATCTTACATATATTGTGTAGATTGAAATGGCATCGAACAACTCACAACTATTTTCATTACGATCAATTCTTGAGAAGGACAAACTCAATGGGACTAACTTCCTTGATTGGTCTTGAAACTTGAGAACAGTTCTCAAGCAAGAGAGGAAGCTTGAAGTCCTAGACCAAGCGTTACCTAATGAACCGGCTAGAAACGCCACTACTCGCTCAAAGGGAGGCATTTGAAAAGCAAAAGAATGACTCCAATGATGTGACTTGCCTCATGCCGGCTACCATGAGTCCAGAATTGCAAAAACAATTCGTGGATATGGAGGCTTTTATGATCATGACTCACCTCAAGGAAATGTTCCAAGAGCAAGCTCGTCATGAAAGGTTCGTGACAACCAAGGCACTAACTTCATGCAAAATGGCACTAGGTACTTCGGTGAGTGCCATGTGCTCAAGATGAAAGGGTATATTGATACTCTCGAGAAGCTTGATGCACCCATTTGCAAGGAATTAGCAATCGACCTCATCTTAGCATCTTTGCTAGAAAGTTATGATTAGTTTGTCATGAACTATAACATGCATGGGATGGACAAATCAGTTTCGAGTTGCATGGGATGTTTAAAAATGTTGAGCGTAACATAAAAAAAACCAATCCTGTGCTCGCTGGTTCAAAAGGGCAAGGGTGGAAAGGTAAAGGACAAGGTTGGACCTATATCCAAAGGCAAGGAGGTCAAGGCACCTAAGCCCAAGCCACCGAAGGAGGGCATGTGTTTCCATTGCAATAATGCCGGGCATTGGAAGAGGAATTGGCCAGCTTACTCGGAAAATCCGAAGAAGAAAGGAGGCGGGGCTTCCACAGGTATCTTTGTTATAGACGTCAATCTTTCTATTTCTATGTCATGGGTATTAGATACCAAGTTTTGGCTAAAGGTGAAGTCGACCTAAGAGTTGGGAATGGAGTAAAAGTTGCTACCCTAGAAATAGGGGATTATCATTTGACTATACCTAGTGGACTTATAATTCATTTATAGAATTTTTATTTTGTTCCTTCTATGACTAGGAATACTATTTCAGTTTCTTGTTTAGATATTGATGGATTCTATTTCATTATTAAGAATAATGTTATTTCTATTAATCGTGAGAATATTTTCTATGGCAATGCTTTGCTTAGTAATGGTCTTTACATTCTAGACTTAGAAAACCACAAGCCCATTTATAACATTGATAACAAATGGGTTAAATCAAATGAATTAAACCCAACCTACTTCGGCATTGTCGTTTAGGACATGTGAATGAGAAACGTATCTCAAGACTCCATAAAGATGGAATTCTTGGCTCATTCAATTTTGAATCTTATGAAACATGTGAATCTTGCTTACATAGAAAAATGACTAAAAGCCCCTTTAACAAATTGAGTGAAAGGGCAAGTGACTTATTAGGCCTAATACATACCGATGTATGTGGACTACTAAGTACATCTCGCTAGAGGTGGTTATAGCTACTTCATTACATTCACGGATGACTTCAGTAGATATGGCTATGTCTATCTAATGAGGCATAAATTCGAGACTTTAGAAAAGTTCAAAGAGTATAAGAATGAAGTACGTAACCAACTTGGAAAAAGAATAAAAGCTATTCAATCCGATCGAGGTGGTGAATATTTAAGCCAAGAGTTTGACTCTTACCTAAAGGAGTGTGGAATAGTTTCACAACTCACTCCTCCCGGTACACCCCATGTTAAAAGGTTAACATCGGATAAGCTAGCATCCAAAATTGATAAATGCGTATTTGTGGGATATCCTAAAGAAACTAAGGGATATTACTTTTACAACCAAAGCGAGAACAAAGTGTTTGTTGCTCAAAAGCTGTTTTCCTTGAAAAGGAGTTCATTTTCAAGAGAAACAATGGGAGTAAAGTACAACTTGAAGAAGTTCAAGAACCACAAACTCCTATAGAGGATAGTATTGAAATCGAAACGGATTCACAAGGATTTATGGAACTTAAACCGATTCCACAAGAACTAAGAAGGTCCGGTAGGATTCATCACGAGCCCGAGAGATATGGATTTCTCATAACCGACGATCAAAGTATTGTACTAGTGGATCAAGATGAGCCTACTACCTACCAAGAGGGAATTAAAAGTCCAGATTCAGCCAAGTGGCTTGGAGCCATGAAATCTGAAATGTAATCAATGTATGATAACCAAGTATGGATTTTGGTTGATCCCCCGAAGGCGCTAAGATCATTGAGTGCAAATGGATTTTCAAACAAAAGGCCGATAACACCTTTAAAGGATGACTAGTGGCGAAAGGTTTTAGACAAACTCATGATATTGACTATGATGAAACCTTCTCTTCAATAGTCATGCTCAAATCCATTAGGATCTTACTTTCCATAGCCGTATATTATGACTATAAAATATGGTAAATGGATGTCAAAATGGCTTTCCTTAATGGAAACCTTCTCGAGGATCCGTACATGACACAACCCAAGGGTTTTATCGATCCTAAGAATCCTAAAAAAGGTATGCAAGCTTCAAAGATCTATTTATGGATTGAAGCAAACATCCCAAAGTTGGAATCTTCGCTTTGATGAAGCAATCAAACGAGTTTGGTTTTATCAAAAATGAAGATGAGCCTTATATGTACAAGAAAGTTAATGGGAGCATAGTAGTTTTTCCGGTCTTATATGTGGATGACATCTTGCTCATTAGAAATGATATCCCAACATTGTTAAGAGTTAAGCAATGGTTAGGGAAGTGTTTCTCAATGAAAGACTTAGGCGAAGCCGAAACTATACTAGGTATAAAGATCTATAGAGATAGATCACATTGGCTCTTAGGACTAAGTCAAGAAAAGTACATAGACAAAGTACCGAAACATTTCAGTATGGTTGACTCCAAGAAAGGGTTCCTTCCTATGAGTCAACGCATGATTCTAAGTAAAAAGGATTGTCCTTTTACAAGAGAACAAAGGGAATATATGAGTAAGATTCCTCATGCATCAGCTATAGGATCCGTCATGTATGCCATGCTATGTACTAGACTCGGATGTCGGACACACACTAAGTATGACAAGCATGTTCCAACAGGATCCGTGTGAAAATCATTGGACCACCGTCAAAAACATTCTTAAGTACTTGAGAAGGAATAAAGGATATTTCTTAGTGTACGGTGGTCGGGAAGAGCTAATTGTAAATGGTTACACCGATGCTACTTTCCAAACCAATGTTGATCACTTAAGATCACAATCCGGTTATGTGTTTTGTTTGAATGGAGGTGCTCGTAAACTCGGAAAAGCTCAAAGCAAGACACCGTCATCGATTCTACCACAGAGTATGAGTACATTACGGTATCGAAGCTACAAAGGAGGCAATTTGGATTAAGAAGTTTGTTACAAAACTAGGAGTTGTTTCGAGCACCCTAGATCCAAGTAAACCTCTATTGAGAAAAACAACGGGGCCATCGCACAAGCTAAGGAGCCCCGGTCACACCGGAAATCCAAACACATACTCGGGAGATTCCATCTCATTCGAGAAATCATCGAGAGAGGAGATGTGAAGATATGCAAGATTCTTAGAGAAGACAATGTAGCAGATCCTTTAACTAAGCGAGTTAGCTAGGCCAAAGCATGAGGGTCATGTTAGATCTTTTGGTCTTAGGATTATGCCTCATTAGGACTGGTGCAAGTGGGAGATTGTTAGTGTATGCCCTAGGACAATACATTGTATTTTGACTCCTTTACTATATATATACATATGAGGCATTGTTTTATCTTATTATCATTTTTGTGCATGTTTAAAATAGATAAAATATCCATGAATAGAATAATTCTACTTAAGTTATCAAATACGTGATTTGATAGTAAAACCTTGAAGCATAAAAGAATACTATTCTAAATGTCCCTAGTCGATTATTGTCATGGGAATGGCAACAAACTAAGACTAATATGTACTTTGTGAGATGATCATGTTTTATTGGTCATGGATATGGGATATCAATCGGGGAACATAGATACATATTAGGGAACGAGTGTATTTAGATCGATCCGCTCATGAGAACACTATATGGTTGAAAGTCATAAGTGATTCTCATGCAAATGCTTATACTTGAATCCTTCGACCTTAAATCGTTATGGATTCTTAGATGAATCCTTGCACACTTTGACATACGCCTAACGTCATTTGTAACTAAATGACAAGTATGGGTATGATTGGGTATGCCATGATTCATGCTAAGAAACATGATTGAAGTGAAGGGATTGTCACTCTCTTTATTGAGAGAAGATATCACCGACCACTTGATTAGTGAAACCGAGTAGTGCATGGCCATGCCCAAATGAAATGATAAGTGTTATAATTTATTTGATTTAGTCGGTGTCACTAATAGATCAAGAAATGATTTAGCAATAAATAAGGATGACATGTTCCATGCCTTATGCCGATCATGGTATCGAGAGGCAAAGGGTTGTATAAGGTTGCAACTAGGTTACGTTAATTTATATTGACATTCATTCAATTTGGGTAGTCATAATGTCTTGCTAGAGACCGCTTATGATTTATGGTCAATAAATTGGATTTAGGCCCATTGCCAACATTGAATGGACCTACAGGATCGCACACTTTAAAAATATGGATTTGGATTTAAACTATCTCACTTATCGGGCCATTAAATTATGTTATTAATTAAAACATAATTGAGTGGACTTAAGTTGATTTTCGGTTGGAGCTTATTTAAATGTTAAATTCGGCCCTAATAGTATTTTAATTAAAAGGAGAGAAAGAGTCTTTATTCTTGTAGAATAATTAAAGAGGAATTTATTAGGAATGTGATCCCTATGTTTTAGGAAATAGATTGCCATCCAAATTGGAAACAAATCTGTTCCTAATAAAAAAATAAAAATAAAAGAGCAGAGAAAAAGTTTCTCTCACTCTAAGACAAAATTCGGCACACATATAAAAGAGAGAAAATAGGTTTTGCTCTCCTCCTAACTCTTGGAAAAATTTGGCACACATAAAAGAAGAGAGAAAATAGGTTTTGCTCTCCTCCTAACTCAAGGCCACTCGCCCCCCCCCCTCTTTTTCTTTCTTCAAAACCGAAATGATCAATTAATAAAAGTGAGACTCGTTTGAGTACTAGCACACATAATCTTAATCCCATAAGTTTTTGCGTGTGAGACGGTAGAGGGCATTCGCATTAAGGTAGTGTCTCCCATTGTTCAAATCGGTAGAAAAAGGAGCAAGCAGGAGAAATTGATTCGAGCTCACCTTATTGAATAAAGATTCGGCATCCAACTCAAGGTAAAAGTCTCAACCTTTATTGATTATTTTAGCGTGCATGTGATCTTGGCATTTTTCTATGGTAAAGTTTATGATTTTCGATGCGTGTAAACTTGATTAAGTCCATAGGAAACCTTATATATATATATATATATATATATATATATATATATATATATCAAAATTAACAGTAATACTTTCCCTATAAGAATGATATTATGATATTAAACACATTAGGAGGACTCATCATAATTAAGAAAAGTGATTTATTATAAAATCTATTGGTATTAATAGTCAATCTTTGAGAGTATATTAAATATATGATGGCATTAATAAAATGTGATTACTCTATTCATATGAGGATAAATTAGAAAACTCCTGAGGGGTTCCTCCCCTCATCTTGAGAGAAGAGAAATGCTAAATGAGTCCACTCAACCATAAATATAATGGTATATATTCACAATAGAGGAAATACTCTATTGTGAATATATTAATTAGGAATCAATATCATTTTCACTATGTCTAAATTATTTAAGATTATTGTATATATGAAGTCCTTATAATCATCTCTTTATGGTGGGA